TACCTTCTCTTACAGAATACTAACGGAATGTTCTATAAGTTAGTCCAACAAACAGGTCCCGAAATGTCCACTCATTTGATGTCTTTAGCCAAACAGGCCTTCCATGAGACACAACATAATGACAATTCATATATGAATTGATTTACAGAAAACAGTATTAATTAATGATTTATTTAATCCACAAAATTATGATTTGTAACAAAATTTTATTCACTAATAAAGAGAATTCAATCAAAATATAAAACATTTTTTTCTCAAATATTGGAAATAATTTTCAGATTCTGATCATTGATGTCGAGGAATATGTTTAACTGAATCTATGGGTCACCCAAACGCCTATCAGTCCCAAAGTGAAGCCTATGAGGAAAGCCGTGGGACCGGCACTGCCCACCGAGTCCTCCATTGACCACTCCTTCTCTCGACCACTCTTTGTCTTCTTCACACTACTGGTACTGCTTGTACTCACAGTCTTTGACACCATTTTGTTATTCATTTCTGTCTTTGATTTATACGATTGTATTGAATATTATAACGATTTCTCTTATGATTTAGATTTGTATTAAATGAATGACTATTTCTATAGTTATTATCAAATTTATTCAATAAATTTTGTATTAAATTAAATCTAATTTAGATTTTGTTATTATATTTGAATTTCAAAGTTATATAACGGTTTGAAATCTTAAACTTTAAATCTCTAAACAGAAATGAATAACAAAATGGTGTCAAAGATTGTGTCAAAGACTGGGAGCACAAGCAGTACCAGTAGTGTCAAGAAGACAAAGAGTGATCGAGAGAAGGAGTGGTCAATGGAGGACGAGGAGGGCAGTGCCGGTCCCACGGCTTTCCTCATAGGCTTCACTTTGGGACTGATAGGCGTTTGGGTGACCCATAGATTCAGTTAAACATATTCCTCGACATCAATGACAAGAATATGAAAATGATTCTCAATTTTTATTACAAAAAATGTTTTATATTTTAATTGAATTCCCTTTAATTTGTGAATAAAATTCTGTTTCAAATAAATTCTTTTAAATGTTTTTATTTAGATTTTACAAACATTACAATTAATAAAAATTTTATCAGCGAATAGATAACTTATTAGTGATAAGCTGTCTTATAAAATAAATCATTCTACACTAACTTTATCTAATTTTAAAACATATGATTCATATGATATGAATAATATAATTTTTTAATTTATTCATATTGTATTATAATGCCATAAATGTCATATAAATTCATAACACTAAAAATGATTCACATACATGTATGTTATAACTTTATTTGATATAATTAATCGATAAATTCATTGAAAATTACAAAATGCGAGCAAATGACCAAAAGTCAAACCTAACATTCAATACATACTATTTGGGTGACGATTAGGCTTTGGATTTTTAATTTTATCCAAATTCTTGATCACCATATCATTGATGGAAACATAATTGTCTCTCAATTCCCGCACAATAAGACACAGAATGAGAAAAAACTTCTGATCCTCTTCTTTGAGACACTGGCGATAGTCCTGACAGTGAGGATACCTTGCAATCCAAGTGACCACTCGTCCCCTATATGTGTGAAAAGTGCCGAATTGTTTCAGACGACTCATAAACAACTTCTCGCACCGACTGAATGCAGTGATTGCCTGCGACTGGATCTGAACCCTAAAGTTGTTTCCGTCCTCTACTTTGGGAACCATTAGCTGAACCGCGAACTTACATAACCGGATGTCTGACAAGAAATCCAAGAGCAATGGCTTCACACAATCAATCAGTTGTTGGATGTCTTCATTAGTCTTATTGACTCCATTGGGGAACAGAAACACTCTTTTGTCGAGTCCTGTGCGTGTGGTCTGTGGTGTCGGTTCCTGTGATGTCTGTCCACTATTTGGTTTGTCGGGCACCGGTATGTTCACCTCTGTCTTCAATTGTGTCATTTTGTTGATATTGAACTTCTCTTCAATCAGATCTTTCATTTGAAGTATCTTTTTGGGGAACTTCTTGAGTATGAGTTCCTCCAAAGACTTCTTACTCTTCTCTTTCAGTTCATTCAGTTCTTTCTCATCCTTTCCCTTCGAGTCTGTCATTCCTCTGATATAATTGTCTTTTTATTTTTATTTCAATTTACTATTACAGTAGTCATATTATTATTCACGAGATTTTCTAAATTAATTTTTAATTACACAGTTTTGATTACGTACATTATAAAATTCAATATAAAATTATGATTAAGAAAGGCATTAAATTTGATCTATATTATTCATTTCAAATCATTTTTACTAATTAATAACTATTATTAATGTCACATTATTAATGTGCTAACAAATCCAGGAAGCCTTAGTTACTTATTTATAGGTTATTGAAACGACAACTTCTGTATTAATTAAATCTCATTTATTTCAAACTCAATGGGAAAGTCTAGTTATTAATTTAACATTGATTGACAGTATTCACGACAAATTCATAGCAATTGAACAACACTTTAAGACTTTTGTCATGAGTTCTCAAACTGAAAGAACTCAAACACCAACCAATCGACTACCAGTTCGGCCATTAGGTCGCTCTCCTGTTGGAGGAAAGCCTTACTGCAGGTTTTCACCGACTCATACAATGGGAAGTCTGTGTTGTGGTTGTGTCCGTGTCCGACGTGCAGGTAGTGTTCAAATTGGGAACTGTATTCAAAGATCTTTGCGATATATAGGCACCGACCGGCCGCTGTCTTCAACAATGAGTGCGTTAATGGGAGTACAGGTTTGGGAAAGTTGTGGTGTCGGCCCTGTACCAGACGCTGTTTGTAAGCCTCTAACTCCCAGTCGGGGTCGAGGTTTAACTGCTGGCCCTCCTGTTTGGCTTTCGCCTGTATTTTGGGCAATAAGTCTGTCACCAAATATCCCATGAGTTTTACTTTCAGTAATATCCTGTGAGACTCCGGCACATCCAGGTGTGCCATGTTTTGCATTTTGTCCAACGATTCAGATTTTTGAATAAATTTTATTTCATTTCTATGGATATCTGGCAATATTCTCGTGAATTATTATTCATTAAAAATATTTATTACAAAAATCACTCGTTTTGTTGTTAATTTCATTTTTATGATTTCATTCATAAGTGGAATGTTTGCTAAATCTCATATAAATTATAAGAATTTAATAAACAAATGGTAAATAAATAAAATAATCTATAAATATGTGTAAAATAGAAATACAGTTATAATAAATACAGATTAAATTTCTTATAAAAATACTGTTTTATAAATCAATCCAATGATTGGTTTTCTACACCAGAATTGAGATCCTTTTCGTCTTTATTACTGTGCTTTCGGATGAAGTGATTATTAGCCGACCGTTTGCTCTGAAACTTAAGCGGACAGTCAGGTGCCGGACACTTGTAAGGTCTCTCTCCAGTGTGGGTCATAATGTGTGCCTTTAATTAGAAAACAATCAAATTATAATACAATTAAACTCATCATAAAAATGAGACAAAACCTTAAGTGTATTGATTTGCTTGAAAGCGGCCCCACAGGGCTGTCCGACAGGCTGTCCCTCACTGTCCAACTGAGTCCAGTCACACTTAAATGGACGCGTATTCGTATGGATCAGTTTATGCCGATTCATGGACTTGTGATATACGGTGGAGAACTCGCAGGCCGGCCACTCGCACCGGTAGGTCTTTGCTTTGTTATGAGCGTTGAACTCATGCAGCGATAGCTTAGGTTTGGTGACAAACCTCTGCTCGCATTCATTGCATTCAAACGACTCGATCCGCAAGTGTTTCACGTTTTGGTGTTTAATTAGGTTTGACTCGCATTTGAAGTCTTTGTGACAGAGTTGGCACCGATGGAGGGGCTGTGCGTTCATGTGCTCCAACTGGACGTGTCGTTCCCACTCCTGTTTGCTCACAAAGCCCTCACTGTCCGCGCAGTCCGTGTATTGACACCGATATCGCGGACATCGGGAGTGCTTTTGCCGGAAGTGTTCATTCATTTCAAACACATGTCTGAAGCGTTTGTCGCACTCGGAGGCCATACAGTGGACAGTCTTATTGGGCCGGAGGTTGTCGTGTGAATACATGACGTGTTTGTTGAGCCCTTCCCTCCATTTGAACCGTTTGTGACACTTCTGGCACTCAAACCGATTCTTGTCGTCCGAGTGAGAGATCAGATGTCTTCGCAATTGAGACAAAAACCCAAAACTTTTGTCGCATTTGAGACACAAATACGTGTTTTTGTCGACTCTCTCAACGGTTCCCGAGTTCTTCAGCAAAAACTGCTGAGTCTTGACGGCTCTCCTCTCCGAGACAATCAATCGGATCTCACTTTCGGTCAACTCTTTGGCCGAAGAGTCCATTCGGTCGCAGAACTCAATCAACCGCTTCCTCTGGTCTTCATTTGGTCCACATTTGCACCGTTGGGCCAAACGTTTGGTCTTTTGTCGCAAACTATTAATGAGTTTTTGTTTCCATTTCAACAGTCCTTTCAATCCTTTGATTTCGTTTCGCAGTCTTTTGGCAATCGTTTCATTAGTTTTTGTTTTCATTTCATTTGTCTTTTGAACACAATTTGACACAAACTTTGAGTTATTGTTTGCGCAGTCGTTATGACAACCATTTGTTTGTAAACATAGAGTCACTGACTGTCACACTGTCTGTCACTTGAAGTGCAGTGAAACGAGTGTTCAATTGATTTGTATATCAAATGAATTGTAATCACTATTGAAATGACAATCAATTAGTCATCAAATTATGGCTCAAATACTAATCCACGACTTGTTTGAAGAGTTATCTCAAGAAAATCAAAGACTTTTACACCGATTGAAGAGTTTTGAAGAAATGCATGAATTGTTTGCAAAATACAGACAATTAATGAATGGTTTGAATTTGTATTTGCGATCAAAATATTGGACACAAAAAGACATCAAATTCATTGGAAACCAAATACACAGCGATTAATAATCGTCTCAAGACATGGATGACAACGACAGACACTCAACACATGACCACAAAGACATCTCACATTGGGACTCATTATCCAAAACACATTCACATCCGACGAGTCGTACGAAGAATTGAATTCAAGAAATGAAAGCCAAACACAAAGTCAGACACAATTGCATTGATTCTTGAGATGAAGACAAATCTGAGGACAATATTCGTGATAATGAGTGACAAACTCGTGGACACATGAGTCCACATGAGTGCATCCGCGCCAACAAATGTCCGGTCAGTGGATGTGATCGCAGTTTCTTCAGTAAGCCTTCTGTGAGACAACACTTATGTCCAATGAATTGATTAAAATTGATAAACTCGTCAAATATTATAGAAAATGATAAGTTATTGTATATCAGTTATACTGTAGTACAACAACCTTAAGGACAAAATGAGTCGGGGACAAATTGAATAACAAATGCTCGCATATAAACATATAGACATATAAACAATTGACATTTATTTAATTTTAAGATCTTTAATAAGAACTCTATTTATTGTCTATTTAGATCCCAGCTAAATGTAAATGTATTTTATTTATTATATATAAATAAAGTTTAAATATATAACATGTTATTCTATGGATAATAATAATTGTGCATGTAAAGTGTGTGGCGACCAAGCATGTGGTACATTAGAAATTAATAATTTATTAAATGATAATAAAAATATGTGTTTAATGGCTTAATTCGTGTCCACAAAATAGGTGTCAATTTCAATGCACTCACGTGTCAGTCGTGTAAAGTCATGTTCAGAAGGAATGCCACCAATTATGTGGTAATTAATGAACTTATTTGAGATATACTTCTATTTAATTGATTGGAAATGAATGCAAAGAATATAAAGTGTGTGACTTTGAGAGACAACTGTCCCATTGATATCAGGAGAAGGAAATACTGCCAAAAGTGTCGTTTGAAGAAATGTTTCGCAGTCGGAATCAAAGAGGTTTTCACTTAATTAACAATAATTGAAAAATTATCAAATTACCAGTGAATATATTAGTATACTATTTATACTATTAGTATTTATATTAGTATTTGTCATTTAATACAGTATTCATCTTATCGTTGAATTTATAACTTAATTAACAAAACATATCCCAAAATAGGAGCGCATTCTGAATGAGAAACAAAAACTCTTGAGATTAAAGAAAATTGAATTAAACCGTAAGAAACGTCACCCAAAAGGACTTCAATTAAAATACATGAATAGCAACAAGACTGCCGGTTATATAAGATATAAAATTAATAAAAATATTTCACTCAAAATTATCAAAGAATTGACTCAATTAGAGACAAAACACGAAAATATAAGGACAAGGATTACGAAATTGGAGGTCTATTTCAAACTAACCGATAAAAACGATAGTTTCAAATGATTTATATTCTTATTTTAATGAAGAAATAATTTTTTGTATAGAAATCAATGTTCTATTCGGTGACAAAATTTCTATTACCGGTAATTGTAATGTTTGTAAAATCTAAATAAAAACTTTAAAAGAATTGATAATAGAATTGATTTGAAACAGAATTTTATTCACAAATTAAAGAGAATTAAAATATAAAACATTTTTTGTAATAAAAATTGAGAATCATTTTCATATTCTTGTCGTTGATGTCGAGGAATATGTTTAACTGAATCTATGGGTCACCCAAACGCCTATCAGTCCCAAAGTGAAGCCTATGAGGAAAGCGGTGGGACCGGCACTGCCTTCCGAGTCCTCCATTGACCACTCCTTCTCTCGACCACTCTTTGTCTTCTTGACACTACTGGTACTGCTTGTGCTCCCAGTCTTTGACACAATCTTTGACACCATTTTGTTATTCATTTCTGTTTAGAGATTTAAAGTTTAAGATTTCAAACCGTTATATAACTTTAAAATTCAAAAATAATAACAAAATCTAAATTAGATTTAATTTAATACAGAATTTATTGAATAAATATGAGAATAACAATAGAAATAGTCATTCATTTAATATAAATCTAAATCATAAGAGAAATCGTTATAATATTCAATACAATCGTATAAATCAAAGACAGAAATGAATAACAAAATGGTGTCAAAGATTGTGTCAAAGACTGGGAGCACAAGCAGTACCAGTTGTGTCAAGAAGACAAAGAGTGGTCGAGAGAAGGAGTGGTCAATGGAGGACTCGGAGGGCAGTGCCGGTCCCACGGCTTTCCTCATAGGCTTCACTTTGGGACTGATAGGCGTTTGGGTGACCCATAGATTCAGTTAATCATATTCCTCGACATCAATGACAAGAATCTGAAAATTATTTCCAATATTTGAGACAAAAATGTTTTATATTTTGATTGAATTCTCTTTAATTTGTGAATAAAATTTTGTTACAAATCATAATTTTGTGGATTAAATAAATCATTAATTAATACTGTTTTCTGTAAATCAATTCATATATCAATTGTCATTATGTTGTGTCTCATGGAAGGCCTGTTTGGCTAAAGACATCAAATGAGTGGACATTTCGGGACCTGTTTGTTGGACTAACTTATAGAACATTCCGTTAGTATTCTGTAAGAGAAGGTA